AAGGACACCCATCACATGTCAACCGACACAGGCAAACCAACAGCTCCTTCTGGTTCTTTCCACTGCTCACTGCTCTCTACGCAGGTTCATAATTATGTACATATAATTCCTTTGCCTCACGAACTCTGACCCACACACACGATATGCCTGGGGTATTTACGACATAAGCACGTTCCCCGTGTTTCTCTGCCCTGCCCAAGTCCGCTAAAGCTTACGGCATCTTTCTCCAAGGCTCCTTTCTTCTCGCTCAGTCAGTGACCAAATTTGGCAAAGGTTTCGCCCCCGTCAAATTTTTGACGGATAACCACCAAAAAATGTAGGTGGGGGAGGCGTGGTTCTCTACGTACAAGGATGCAAACGCATGGCAAATCCGCGACGCTCGCGATCGCATCGACGGCATGGTATGGGGTACCGGTACAGCCTAGCTTCCTTCCCGCTGTTGGATCAAACGAGGAGCAATAGTTTAGAAGACTAACGGTAGTCAAGAAAAATATTTCCGTTTCAATACGCATGCGCAGTGCTTTACGCGACGTATATATAAATATACGCGACGCGGTGCATGCCAGTAGTAACAAAGTTGCTGTCTGTGTCATCCCCGGACCCAGAAATGGAGGGGACTTGCTTCGACTCAACGGGCATGAAGCAGAGACGTACAGAATCCCGACTGGTAAACAACGGCGACAGTCGCTTCGCGGTCGTCGTTAGCCAGCTCCCTGCGCGACTGGACTCTTCGCAGCCGTTCACCAAGCTCCCGAAATGGCTACAAGACATAAGTACCTGACGGCGAGAGCATCGCCCACCGATGCACTCGTTTCTCGGCTGCTTCAAGAGCATGTCCGCATGCACACGGAGACATGGAACATCTGGACACTTCTGGGGTTTGCCTTCTTTGTTGCCGCTCTGTCTGGGGATCTCTTGTCTACGGCCGACTACATCACGTTTCTGTTTGAGGACATTGAGATCTACCAACTCCTGTCACCGATCAGGCCATGCTCTTTCTGCTCTTCCTCGCGGCCATGATCTGTCTCTCCTGCTCCACTCTCTTCACCTCTTCAGCAACCACTCGTTACAGTGTCTATCCCTCTTTATTCGCTCGACTACTCTGGGATCGCCATTCTCATCCACAGCTCCAGCATCCCCGCCTACTATTACGGATTCTACTGCACACGCTCTGACCCAATGTGTCCACATAACGATCCTCATCCTCCTGTTTCCGGGTGCATCGTCATCTCCCTGTGAAGAAGTTTGGAACGCACGAGTACCCGCCCCTCTTCGTTTCGCAACTCCTTCTCTTTCGTCTCTACGGATTTGTCCCGGGGACCCACGTGGTTCTCAGAGATGGGTTTCGAAGATCAGCACCACTGTGAACGCTATGCGGGCTCACCTAATGGGCGGGGTCTACATACTCGGCGCTGGGTTTTACGTCTCTCGGTTTCCCGAGCGTCTCTTCCCTGGCAAGTTCAACACGTGGGCCAGCAGTCACCAGCTGTTTCACGTCTGCGTGGTCTGCGCAGCCCTCATCCACTATAACACTCTACTGGGTATGCATAACAGTACCGTATGAGCACAGAATCATGTGCCCGCGAGCAACTCTAATATTCACCGACCCTGACGACCAGACTCAGATGGGCTTATTCATAAGTCATAGTTTGTAAGTCAACAGATGTACACATATAGCACCAGCTTTCATGTCACGTTGTACTGCTTTGTTCGGCCTCTTTACACAGCGTGAGCATTTTATTTTATTTTATTGGTTGGTGCATAAGTCGTGTCATTTAGAGTCCGCCAGTGTGTGCAGCACACGCACAATGTTCACGAACGAAGACCGATGCGCACGCGCATAATGCAACGCAGGTCAGGTCAGCTCAGCTCAGGAGAGACAATGGAGGAGGTCGAAGGCAAGGGCTCGGTCCAAAGAAGGCGTCGTCGAGTCAAACCGACGGAAGAAGCGGAGAGTAGAGAGACGCCAGATGATCCCAAAGATCGGGGTGAAGGGCAGCAACCACCGGTTAGCGAAAGAGATGATTATGAAAGAGGCGAGGAACCGAGGGATGATGCAAGGAACCACGACGGATCTTCAGGGCAGACAGATATGATGCTCCCCGCGGGTACAACAGAGGACGAGGAAGAGACTGGAGATAGCGAGGAACGGGAGGAAACGGAAGAAGAGGAAGAAGACGATGACAGTTCCAGCGTCCATAGCGACAGTTCCCTGATGGCGGCCTCCCTGAGGAAGATCAGCGAGAAGGTGGGAGAGCTGGAGGCACACATCATGCAGAAGGTGGAGAAGACAAGAGCCAACATTGAGAGAGTTTTCTCACTACGCCTGGACAGCTCTCCCCGTTTGATAAGCTCCCCGAATGGCTACAACGACAACGAGTACCTGACGCAGAGCATCGCCCCACCGATGCACTCGTTTCTACGGCTGCTTCACAAGGAGCATGTTCACGCATCGCACACGCGAGACATGGAACATCTGGACAGTCGCACTATGCTTCCTGGGGTTTTGGCGCTTCTTTGTTGCATCTGATCTGGGATCTATGTCTACGCGCGACTACATACCCGTTTCTGTTGACGGACATTGAGACGCTCTCACACACTCCTGCCACTTCGAGCAGGCCATGCTCTCTGCTTCTTCTCATGCGCCTGGCCCATGATCTGTCTCTCTTCTCAGCATCTGTTTCATCTTCTTCTTTCAGCAACCACTCGCAGTCCGTCTAACACGAGTATTCAGTGCCGTCGTCGACTACCTCGGTTTGATCGCGCATTCCTCATCACAGCGCTCCAGCACATCCCGGCACAGGCCTACTATTACGGAGTTCTACATGCAGACGATCCCACGTCGAGCCACCGTATTGGCTCCTTTGTGACGCGCACCATGGCTGCGGGGCGGGTTGGCTGTCACTGCTTGTCGTCACCGGGCTTTGACTCTGCGTGGCTGCGTAGGTGTTCTCGCTCTTTGATATATGGAGAAGTTTGGCTGCGCTCACGCAAATTACCGACGCTGCGGCTTTCCACAACGATTTGTCGCGTTTGGTGTACTACGGCGTCGTCCGCTCGCGTCATTTCGCGTCATTGCTCGAAGAAGCGCATCGAGACAGCAACATGTCATCGACGCCGGGAGGCTCTTCTAGTAATGGCGTTTCTCTACATCGTTGAAGCGCAGATTCTCCTATGTGGTCGGTTCCCGCAGAGGATCTTCCCGGCAAATTCATACACTGCGGCCAGCAGCCATCAGATATTCACGTCTGCGTGTTGTGTGCGGCTGTGGTTCCACTACAACACCCTGCTGACGTATGATAACAGTACGCATTGACGTTCTTCCGATTCCTGTGCATCGGACCTCAGTCGGCACTGCTGCTCGACTTGATCTCCCGCCATCACATGACGCAGTATAATATGCTACACAACACCATGTGAAAGCACGACCTCCACACAACACTACTACGCATACATTCATCTAGGTCACATGCACTACTGTAATGGCTGTGTATACGTATGTCCCGTATTGGGTTTCAATTGTGTGTATACAAAAGTCGATCATATTTCCTTTTCCTACTGAACAGAACTTTCCTAGATAATGAATTCGGTCTACTAAACTTCGCCTAGCTCACACGTCCTCGCAGAAGCGATTTCTCTTCTGCAGTTTCTTGACGTATACTGCTGGCAGCCGTGTCAGTCATGTGTCCATTGTCCTGGTCAGCTCAGTAGACCCCCATCACATCTGGTTGTCGCACGGAATGCTCTTGAAGCAGCCGAGAAACGAGTGCATCGGTGGCGATGCTCTGCCGTCAGGTACTCGTTGTCTTGTAGCCATTTCGGGAGCTTATCGAACGGGAGAGCGTCCAGGCGTAGTGAGAAACTCTCTCAATGTTGGCTCTTGTCTTCTCCACCTTCTGCATGATGTGTGCCTCCAGCTCTCCCACCTTCTCGCTGATCTTCCTCAGGGAGGCCGCCATCAGGGAACTGTCGCTATGGACGCTGGAACTGTCATCGTCTTCTTCCTCTTCTTCCGTTTCCTCCGTTCCTCGCTATCTCAGTCTCTTCCTCGTCCTCTGTTGTACCGCGGGGAGCATCATATCTGTCTGCCCTGAGATCCGTCGTGGTTCCTCATCATCCTCGGTTCTCGCCTCTTTCATAATCATCTCTTTCGCTAACCGGTGGTTGCTGCCCTTCACCCCGATCTTTGGGATCATCTGGCGTATCTCTACTCTCCGCTTCTTCCGTCGGTTTGACTCGACGACGCCTTCTTCGGACCGAGCCCTTGCCTTCGACCTCCTCCATTGTCTCTCCTGAGCTGAGCTGACCTGACCTGCGTTGCATTATGCGCGTGCGCATCGGTCTTATGTGCGGCTCGTCGTACGTGAACATTGTGCGTGTGCTGCACACACTGGCGGACTCTGAATGACACGACTTATGCACCAACCAATAAAATAAAATAAAATGCTCACGCTGTGTAAAGAGGCCGAACAAAGCAGTACAACGTGACATGAAAGCTGGTGCTATATGTGTACATCTGTTGACTTACAAACTATGACTTATGAATAAGCCCATCTGAGTCTGGTCGTCAGGGTCGGTGAATATTAGAGTTGCTCAGCGGCACATGATTCTGTGCTCATACGGTACTTTATCATACCCAGTAGAGTGTTATAGTGGATGAGGGCTGCGCAGACCACGCAGACGTGAAACAGCTGGTGACTGCTGGCCCACGTGTTGAACTTGCCAGGGAAGAGACGCTCGGGAAACCGAGAGACGTAAAACCCAGCGCCGAGTATGTAGACCCCGCCCATTAGGAGGAGCCCCGCAATAGCGTTCACAGTGTGCTGATCTTCGAACCCATCTCTGAGAACCACGTGGGTCCCCGGGACAAATCCGTAGAGACCGAAGAGAAGGAAGGTTGCGAAACGAAGAGGGCGGTACTCGTGCGTTCCAAACTTCTTCCACAGGGAGATGACGATGCACCCGGAAAACAGGAGGATGAGGATCGTTATGTGGACACATTGGGTCAGAGCGTGGCAGTAGAATCCGTAATAGTAGGCGGGGATGCTAGAGCCTGTGATGAGAATGGCGATCCCAGAGTAGTCGAGCCGAATAAGAGGCGATAGACACTGTACGAGTGGTTGCTGAAGAGGTGGAAGAGAGTGGAGCAGGAGAGACAGATCATGGCCGCGAGGAAGAAGCAGAAGAGCATGGCCTGATCGGTGACAGGGAGTTGGTAGATCTCAATGTCCTCAAACAGAAACGTGATGTAGTCGCCGTAGACATAGATCCCCAGACAGAGGGCAACAAAGAAAGATAACCCCAAGAAGTGGGTCCAGATGTTCCATGTCTCCGTGTGCATGCGGAACATGCTCTTGAAGCAGCCGAGAAACGAGTGCATCGGTGGGCGATGCTCTGCCGTCAGGTACTTATTGTCTTGTAGCCATTGCGGGAGCTTGGTGAACGGCTGCGAAGTCCAGTCGCGCAGGGAGCTGGCTAACGACGACGCGAAGCGACTGTCGCCGTTGTTTACCAGTCGGGATTCTGTACGTCTCTGCTTCATGCCCGTTGAGTCGAAGCAAGTCCCCTCCATTTCTGGGTCCGGGGATGACAGACAGCAACTTTGTTACTACTGGCACCGCGTCGCGTATATATTATACGTCGCGTCGACGTTTGTAAAGCACTGCGCATGCGTATTGAAACGGAAATATTTTTCTTTTGCCCCAATTGGACTACCGTTAGTCTTCTAAACTATTGCTCCTCGTTTGATCCAACAGCGGGAAGGAAGCTGTACACCCCATACCATGCCGTCGATGCGATCGCGAGCGTCGCGGATTTGCGCATGCGTTGCATTCCGTGTACGTAGAGAACCACGCCTCCCCCACCTACATTTTTGGTGGTTATCCGTCAAAAATTTGACGGGGGCGAAACCTTTGCCAAATTTGGTCACTGACTGAGCGAGAAGAAAGGAGCCTTGGAGAAAGATGCCGGTAAGCTTTAGCGGGACTTGGGCAGGGCAGAGAAACACGGGGGAACGTGCTTATGTTCGTAAATACCCCAGGCATATCGTGTGTGTGGGTCAGAGTTCGTGAGGGCAAAGGGAATTATATGTACATAATTATGAACCTGCGTAGAGGAGCAGTGAGGCAGTGGGAAAGAACCAGAAGGAGCTGTTGGTTTGCCTGTGTCGGTTGACATGTGATGGGTGTCCTTATTTCACAGGCGTACCACTCCCAGTACAACTCAGACGGTGGCAGAGTCCTTGGGAACCTGGCCCTCCTGCCACTCAAGACCAGCTACAAAGGACCAGCACCAAAGTCAAGTACGTACTAACACTCACACCTGCACCGCCGTCCAGCACCACTCTAATTGATGCCATCCTATGATAGATTCCAAGGTTCCTCCCACTAATAAAGAAATGGGGCACTTTTGTCCTCTATGTATATACATTGTACAAGCACTGTGGTTGTACTAGCCCTGTGGGGTGTTCATTAGGCCGTGGTTCCTGGGTTATTAGCTCTAAATGGTCCACTAATTCTGACCTGGGAAGTATATCCAACACAAAACTGGTTTGTAATGTCTCTTACCCCTTCACAAGCACCCCGTCCTTTCCTCTTTTCCCGTCTTATCGCAGATGATGAAAGTGACATCATAGAAGAGGCTCTGTACTACTTCAAGGCCAACGTGTTCTTCAAGCAGTTTGAAGTCAAGGTGAGGGGGAGCTCCTGTTCGTTCATCAATAATTATTGTTGTTGTTCTGCCTCGGGTGTCCGCTCGGCTTGTGATTCTAGGATGTTGTTTTAGCCTCTTGCAGAAGTGATGACTACAATACAGTCAATACGTGTGTGTTTTGTCAGTGCCCTGCATGTTTATAGTAGCTAGCAACCCCCTCAAGTTTGTAAATGGCTCCCGTGTGTGTGTGTGTGTGTGTGTGTGTATGTGTGTATGTTTGTGTATGTATAGACAAATGTGTTCCATTGTAGCAACCATGTTTCCTTGCTCTCCAGGGCTCTGCAGATCGTGTGTTGATATACCTCACTCTGTATATCAGCGAATGCTTGAAGAAGCTGCAAAAGGTTCGTGTTCGTGTGTATAAACACCCCCACCATGTGCCTCCCACGTTGCTGGAATGTGTCCTTAAAACACTTTATACTGCTTTCACTTTGTTACTGTATTACAAGTACTTCGTCCTTGTTCATGTATGCACAGTGTCCTAACAAAGGGGATGCCACGAAGTCCCTGGCGACGTTGGCAGTGTCGAGCTTCACCATACCTGGAGACTCTGGGTTTCCTCTGAATGCCTTCCTCGCTAAGCCAGCCTCAAGGGCCGAAGCTGGTGAGTGTTCAAAGCTCACTCCAACATGTATCATTTGCCAAACTGACACTATGCACTGTGTTACTGGGACTGTCTCTGCAGACCAAATGAGGGCCTACTTCACACAGCTGCGTCAGGAGCTGGGCGGGAGACTGGTGGAAAAGGTGTTTGGAGGAGAGGCAAAGCCCAGCAAGGTGTGCATGCACTTTCTTCTCTATCTTCTTGTGCAAGAGTTATTTCTCAGTGTCTCTGTTTTTATCTACAAATTACAACAAACGGTTTTATTTTCCTATTTTGCACCTGTGGATGCAACTTAATTGCTCTGCATCCTCCCTTCATTCGCCTGTCTTCCCCTCCCCCCCATTTCTCCCCATCTCAGTGGTGGCTGTGTTTCACAAAGAGACGGTTCATGGACAAGAGCCTGTCAGGTCCAGGCAATTGAGGACTCTGACTAGAGAATTTGACTGCTCCATTTTATGCTTAGAGAACTAAGTAGCATTCACTTGTGATGGATATATAGTTCACTGGTCATTTTGTGTGTTCAGATCGAGTGTTAATGCGCGCGCCGACCTTTCCAGTGGTATGCGCATGCGCCTAATTTTCTATGAGATAATTGCGTGGGCGTGGTTTTCTAGGCGCGCGGAATGTGTTTGATGATGCTTTATTTACTCGCCTGTCAGTCGAGTGTCATGTCATTCCGCCAGCTTTCGCAGAGAAGAGAGAGAAGTGCGTGCAAGGTGAACCGTGCAGCTAGCTGAGAGGGTGCAGTTATCCGTCTTCAGTTCTCCTCTGACACAGAGACCGTAAGTTGTGGTACTTAGGCTGCGTCTTCCTCTACCAGTCATTGCGCGTGGTACTTGCGCGTTTGTTTCTTCTGTGCAGTGTAACTATACTGGGATATCCCTAGATGTGTGGTTATCGTTCAGATGCCTCAGTAACAAGTGTCTAAAGAGTAGGACTGAAGCGGACCCCTAGTTACCTAGTGTGTGTTTGGCGGCGTAGACGAATCGGATGGTAGGAGGTAGGCTACCGAGTGAGGCGGCTTCTCGGCACCTTAGTGAGGCTAGAGAGCCTTGTTTTTCCCGCTGGTAACTCAATTGGCGTTGGAAACATGCCCTCTGCTCCGTGTGTTAACTGGTGTGTGTAATGTGAAAGGTTTACTCTGAAAATATGTCGTTTTTTGTCCGCACGTGTTTCTGGTAGCATTTTCTGTCTTATACCCACCGCACATGTATCCCACCACTGCCTCAGTTTATACAAAGGATGTTTTCAGGGACCAATGTCTTCTAAACTAAAACTCTTTAGTTGGGATGCCTAATTTGCGCTGTCGTTTCTAGGTGCAGCTGTGGGCCAGGTATATCCATCCATCCATACACACTGAGGTAATTGTTTCTCTACTGGTGATGAGTGTGAGAGGTGCTCCTTGCCAGCTGGCACATCCTGTGCTGTTTACCTCTCTTGTTTACCTGTACCTTTCCCTGTTAGAATCAGTGATAATCAGGCAGGGGGCACCCATCCAGCTCCACTCTCACTCGTTTTTCTGTTTAGTGCAGTTGAAGAGCCGAAGTACGTATGTCACGCAAATAATATGGCATTTAGAATAATAATTATACGGCACCACTTTCTGCTGTATTGCCAGTTAGTATATACAGCTAAGTGTGAAGCCCCTGAATCAGGACACTTTCCCTTTGTTAAATTGGTGTATTTATATATAGTGACTTGCGCCCTGCATTGCTGCCAAACAGAGAGACTTGAAACTTGCTGTGTTTCAATTTCTGTGGTGACTGACATTTCGTATGAAGAGGTGTATATTGTACATCCTGTGCAATTAGGTCAGGTCAGATCAATTATCAGGTAATTGTGAGTTGTTGAGTTGTGTCACTGGGAAGAAGGGTCAGTCATCATCTGAAAATTTTTCCCACAAGCCCATCCCTACAATGTAGTTGGCACCCACAGGTATCCCATCTCCCCTACCCCCTGCTCATTGTGGGGGTTCTCTTAGTGTGTCTATCCAACCAGTGGGGTATAGCTCAGTCAACCCTCTCAGTGTGTTTATGGTGGTGTGGGTTACTGGCTTGTATCTTGGTTGTAGCTACCCCCTAGCTGGAGGTTGACAATGCATACAATTGGTGTCTTTCCCTGGCGGGCTGTATACCACACTTAGTAGAATATCTTTATTGTCTCTCTCTCTCTCTCCCACTCCCCTAAACAAACTGTTTTTGCAGAGGGAAAGAATGGTTTCTTTGAGCCTGTTTCATAGTTCTCCGTGTTATTCTTGCAGTAAAGTAATCTCAGAGTTTGTCTCGGTTGTGGTTGTTCTTGTCTCTAGTCGTTGAATAGGCGGTGGGATGAATGCTGGCCCTATCTGTTCAAGTCAGGCACACCTACTGCTGCGTCCTTTATGTGCAGCTGGCGGGCCTGTTGGCTGTTTGAGTGTCGGTTGTAGGTAGGAGTGAGGGTGGCTGGGTTTTTGAATGAGCTTAAGAGGGGTGGAGAGGAGAGGAGAGGCAGGGAGATAGAAATGAAGAAGGCTGTATCCACCATGCGTAGCTTGTGAACATACATATCACGTGCAACTGCTACTCACGCACTGGGTGTAGTGTGCTACTAGAGTCTAGTAGCAGGACCGCATAAGGGAGACATCATCGTAATAAGAGACATTTATCATTGTCCGTGAAGGACACTTTTCACAAAAGTGGGCAATGTTCAGGAGTGTGTGATAGTAGTTGACCTGCTGACTCACCACCCTCTTCCATATGTTGGGGGATTACCTACAAGCCCTGCTTACTATGGGAGAGCAGGGTAGGTTTCGATGTAGGCTGTACTAAGAAATGATTGGAGGTGTAGGGAGATGGGCATTGTGCCTTGAGCTACATACCCAAGCACTGGCACTCAGCACCTTATCACAAATTCACAATCTTCTTTTGATAAGATCTGGGTCTGATAGCTGGATTCCCACTTTAGTATATATGCCTGGGGTAGTTTTTTTTTAATCTGGGGACCGCATCTATGCTGCCCTACCAGGAGCAGCAGTGGACTTCTGTCCCAAGCCCAGGTCTGTGTAAACTCCACCACCACAGAAAGGAGCTTTGCCACCGCTGGGCAGGTGAGCAGGAGAAAAGATTTTTTGATTTAGGTGGGCCACCTGGTGTAGTCTAAGGGCTTCTGTAAGCTGTTACATTCACAGCTTGTGGTAGGGCTATGTTTTTACAAGACCTGTAATTTACAGTTGTGAATGTCGGCCAGTGAGGTTTAAAGGGTGGGATGTGGGCCATGTTCCTCGTGGGCCCTTGGCTGTCTGCACGTGTGTGTGTGTGAATAGGTGGTTTGGTGGCTCCATGAATATAGTGATCCGGTGATGAATGGCAGCGGTGAGGGTGAGGTTGGCAGAACGGAGAGGTGGGAAGGTCGACTTGCTCTCACTAGTGAATGCCTGTCCTGGAGAGCTGATATACAGGGGGGGTGTTCGAATTAGTAAAAGGTGTTTTTGTAGGAAGTGATGGAGGGTGGCAGTGAAATTGGCTTGGAAATGGTCAAAGTGCTGGGGAAGTGGGGTTGGGTGGGAATGATGAAAGGGCCCCGAAGGGGGTTGGAAATGATTGAAGGGGCAGCGAGGAGAGACTGTAAACGAATTAAAACTGGCGGCGAGGGGGACCGTAAATGATTAAACTGGCAGCAGGAAAGAGAGGGAGGATTTGACAGCTGATTATGTGCGTATCTATGACAGGTGGCTCCTGTGCTTTGGTGATAAAGGTGTAGGCAAAATTGTGTCTATAGTGTAGGACCTGTTTCCCATTGCTTGCTGCAGCTGTGTGCTGATGTGTTTACGTTGTAGTTTCTGCATCTGTTTACTGGTATGATGAGAGAGAGAGGAGGGAGAGGACGGAGAGAGGAGAGATTGGGTAGTCTAGTAGGCTCAAAGTATCGCACAATGTCAGAGAGATGGGTTGACTGGTAGAATCATTAGCGGACTGAGGGCCTCAATTATACCTGATTTGCTCAGGAATGTGATAAATTGTGTGGGAATGAGTCCAACCTTTTGGTGGCCATTCTACTAGCAATTTGTAGCGTGTGTCACTACTGGTAAACAGGGGTGATCCAGGGGTGATCCAGGGCTGCTCATAGATATGCAATAATATTTACTGTGGGCGTGTAAATATTCAGATACCTCACGTGGTCACTGCAGTAATACCGCCGGTTCATTATCCCAACTTGATACGATAGACTAGAACTTGTTTGTTCAGTTGGTATCAGTACCCCTGATTTCCGGGCCACAGACCCCCATATTTTGTCCAGACCCCTGGCCCCCCCATAATTCCCCATGGCACCTCGTATTTATCCCTCCTCTTAGTAGTGTCTTGGCTGACTCCAGTAGAGTTGAAAGAAGTGATTTAGAATGCTTATTATCTTAATGCCCAGTGTAATTGATGGAATTCACTGCTCATTAATATGCCACGTGGAAATTAATCTGCGATGCACAGTCAATCACCTCAAAATTCCTGCTTAAAAAAATTTTGGTCATGCCGTAAAATTTTTTTTCCCCTTTCTGTAGACCGACTCTTTGTAAGTCTCCATTGAGTGGCAGTGTCTTTGTCTGAAGGACGTGGTGTGTTTTGTTCAGAGCCTTAGGTCCACACGTCATACCAGTCTTACTACAAGTATACCCACGTAATTTTTAGTAGTGGATTCGAGAGAAGCATGGGGCAAACCATTGCCCCTGATCTCGCAGAGTGCAGCCACAAGCCGTAGTAAGATCCCCGTAGAAATGCCTTTGCTGCATTTCACCTCCCTCCCACACACACACACACACACACACACACACACTCGCTCGCAACTTTATTCACTCCATTCCTCTCACTCTTCCTGTCTGCGTAATTGGCTTTGTTCTGCTTCCAAAGCACCTCATGTATATAAACATTGGTGCACCATACTATGTATATACCAGGTCTTTATTTCCCTGAGGAATCTTGCACTATGTAAGCAACTGGGCTACTGTTTGTACTGGAGGTGTACTAGTTTATTTGCATTCTTTCCCAACTGCCCCAGACACAAGGGAGCCACCTGTTGGTGTATTAACCCTTACCTTGACATTTTCATTGTTTCTCTGTGCTAATCTCTTAGAATGTTGAACATGCTCTGCGCGACAGGTGCATATTATACACATCTCTTGTGCCCTTCTTCTCCCTTCTTCTCCCTTCTCTCTTCTCTCTCCTCTCTCTCTCTTTCTCCCTCCCTCCCTCCCTCCCCCTCCACCCCCTGCAGTGTCTAGTGAAGCTGATCAGAAGTGTCCGTAGTCTCATCTAGTGTTTCTCTCTGGCTGTTGTCATGGAGATCGCAGTAGTAAACCCCCAGGCGGTACTGCAGGTGAGGGAAGCCCCAAGAGTGTCCGATACTCGCACTAGCAGCACCCCGCCCCGCCACGCTGCATTTCGGGTGTTTCGGCTTTTGTTAACGGATTGTTACACTCTAGAGAAATGCTGCGATTAATAGCATTTGACACGACGTGCTACATTGATTCCAACACCTTGCAATGTACCAAGTGTGTACGTCTGTGTTCCAATGTACTCGCTAGTATTGTTAATGTCTAGTCTCACACTGTAGTTTGTTAGTGTTGGCATAATGTATGTACATGTTAGCTGTACGGTGGGGAAGTTTGTGTTGTGAGGGGATGTGTAGTGAAGCAGGGATTGTTGTGCCTCCGCAGTGGGCACATGACCTTGTCGATATGCAGCCTGTAGAGTATAATATAGTGCATGTAGGGAGGAGGACTGTTACTGCAGTGTCCAGTTTGTTTTGGTTCTTGGTGTGTCCACGCTGGAGTTGGTTTAGCCGTTTTCTGCTTTGGAGACGGGAGAGGATTTGGACATATGTAGGAGAATGTGGGCGAAGAGGGAGGGAGAAGAGAGGAAGGGAAGAATGGGGGGAGGGGAGTGAGAAGGAGAGTAATAGAGAGGACACAGGGGCAATCTGTTCACTTCTCACGTGAAAACTGGCGAACATCGGGCGAGGTGTGACACGTGACACCCCGTGTTTTTGCTCACAACATCTCGTAGAGCTGGCAAGGCGGTAGAGCTGCATGCGAGGTCTAGGAATGCCACCGGCTGGGTAGTGTTCCAACGTAACTAACATCACGGGGCTCAGTTTACTCACAACACCTCATAGGGTATTTTAGTCGAGTCCTTTCTTCCTGTCCCCGAAACCTCCTCCTCTATAATACACACTTTTTACATGAGTCTATTTGGATTTAACGGGTCTGCACTATTTCAATGGTGCTATGGCTACCCTACTGATGTGGACAAATGGCTATCCTACTGATGTGGACAAAAGGCCCTGTGTTCTACAACTATAGGGCCATTATAAGTAGCACAATAAGGCTTGACTCCTGCAGAAATGGGTTGAACAATAGAGCTCTGAATTGGAGGGGGAAACTGCAGCAATATTTCACCTGTTTTTTGACCATGTACTATAATTATGCTATTTGTGAACTTTTTCCCTACTGCCTCCCCCACATGTGCCCTGGTGTCTGCGCTATCTGTAGCCTCTGTTGTTACAGGTCCTCCTGTGGCAAATTAGCTTCCTTTGCAGATAGGATCTCGCCTATCTCAGCCCAATCTGTAGTCCTGTGGGTGTGACAATAGGCCTTTATGGCGCTTGATTTGGCGGGCCCTTAATCTCTTCCTGATACCATGTCCCACTTACCCTGCCGCCCAATTCCTTTTTTACGAGTTTCCCAACAAACTCCCTCTGAATGCATCTCTCCCCCTCCCCCTCCTCCCTCTTCTCCTAGATGTACCACTGCAAGGACTACCCGTGGCAGTCACTGGCCACCTCGCCACTAGCAGTCGCCGCCACAGTTGACGACAAAGAAAAGAAGATAGCCAACGCTGACTTCACTATTACAAGTGCCATTGCCAGAAGGTATACATACGTGTACGAAAATGTCTCAATATTGTATTATTTGTGGCACGTCTGGTCTTGAGGCCTGCTTGCAGTCCCATACCTTCATCCCTGGATTCTCAAAAGACAGTTTTTCGCTCAGTAATGAAAACATTTCAACGTTCTCTGCCAGTGGCACCGCCCCGGTCCCGCCTCCCTACACTTCAAAAGCCGCCCATTCTCTCTCCCAATAACAGCTTGCCTGTTCCCCTAATTGTCTCTGGAATCCAATGGAAATATCTCTTTTAGTGCCCTGTAGTGTGTGTGTGTGGTGCTTGCGTTTCTATTTCAGCTTTAATCATCAAAAATCAAAGGATTTTTAGTGACCTCATGCGTCTGCCCTGTTTCGTTTGCCAGGGACGAGAATTGGGTGCATTTGGCTCCGTTCCCGGGGCCCTAGAGGAACACCGAAGTCTCAGCCCTGTCTGTCTCACGTGGCACGTATTGTCGGGAGGCTGGCTTTTAGATCATCCGTGTTGGCCTACACAGAACTGTCTTTCACAGCACCGGGCAGTATGGGTAGAACACAGCGCCTTATGTACTATGGTATGGGTGTGTACCCTATCATTGCTGTACTCGGAAATGCTATGCCAGCTTGTCTTGGTGTGTGAGCAGTGTGTAATGTGAGCCTCTCTCTCTGGGAATGACCCTATGTGACTGGTGTAGTGTGTGAGGTATGTACAATCACTACGGCTTGTGGGGCTACACACAGGATGTGTGCCGATAGGGCTTGATGCGAAGGGCTCTACCGTGGCATCCAGTTACACTGCTACAGAGAGGGCCAGGGTGGGGTGGGTCACGTATATAAAGGCCTCACTGTGAGTATTATGAGTCACGCAGGTGGCTCAAGACTTGTCTACTCTGACTGTAGCGCTTCTGAATACACCCACAGATGGTAGAGTACGCGCAGATTGTTTTCTTACATCACACTGTAGTGCTCTGTGTGTAGGGAAGATAGTGGTAGCGTATTTTATAGAAGTCACGATTATCCCACACACACACACTCCATGCAAGACAACTATTGTTTTTCAGCCACGCAATGGATGCTCCCATGGTATTCATATACTGAGACAGGGCAGTTTATATTAGTTGAAGGTCTGACCAACGGGTGGCAACTTTGTATCACAATTTTGTTGGCCGAGACATAGTTATGTACTGTAGCAATCAATTTATGCCAGCAATTGGATTGGATTTCTTCCCCGAGAGTTTCAACCCAAACTCTCTCTCTCTCTCTGCAGGAGGTTGTCGAGCAAGAAGCGGAGGAACCCAGCTGGACTGTGGGGAGACGGCGGAGGACCAGGAGAGGGAAACAACTCCTCTGAACACTCTGCCAGCAGCAGCCCCACCGGCTCCATGGACTGTCTCCATAGACACCGTCCTCCCAACTCAACCAGTCCCCCCACCACCTCCTCCTCTTCTCGCCACTCCCCACCCTCTCTCAACAGGTATTTCCCTCCCTCTTTCCGTTCTATCTCTCTCCTCTTTCCCTCCTCTCTCTCTCTTCTCTCTCCCTCTCCATCTTGGTCCGTTCCGACGACGTATTGATCTCCTGGTTACATAATCCGCTCACCTGCAGCCTGTTCAGTAGGTGACCTCACCAGTTCTAAGAATGAACCACGATAAGCAGGACACTGCTATGAGAGTGTTAACTCTTTAGGGTCTGTGATTGCATTTGCACCCTAGAGTGTTAACTTCATGAGAGGGGCTGTTTACTTGTGTCACGAAGGTTATGACTGTGCAGCACACAGAACAGTGATACATAGATCGATACACAGTGTCCTAATGATCGGCATGTCCTCTCTCTGACGTTGTCTCTCCTTCTTTCTCCACTCACTGTGTGCCTCTTGCTGGAAATATCAATATTCATAGTCTGCATTACGTGCTATATTTTGACTTAAACTATGCCCTAACGTGTGGTCGTAGTGTGTGTGCCAGTCTGTTGGGTGAATGTGTGTGTCCGCGGGCCCACTCTATTGAGTGAACTACGCCACACTATACTGTTGTTCCTCCCACACTCTTCGTTGACGATTGCTCTCTGCTGTTGCCAGTCACGAGCCTGTAGTGCCCACACATGTATGTGCCGTCCACTCACCAAATTCCTCCATAGCCTGTCAATATATCCATGGGAGAATACATGTTTACATTCCTCCATAGCCTGTCAATATATCGATGGGAGAATAGCTATTGCTTTACCCACGGGCAACTCTGGCCTTCCTTCCCTCCCTCCTTCCTTGTCACTCTCTTGTCATTTCCAACCCTAGTTCGTATGTGTACGTAAGTTAGTATGCAGACGAAAGAGAAGTCAACTCTAACTCTTTGACAAATGGTTTTTAGTGTTGTATAGTGTTGCTATTGGAGGAGCTCCCCTGATTTGCATGGCAATCCTAGTGATTTTAGTTCTACAAAGTCATCTAAAGGACCAATTACACCCAATGTATGAACTCTAGTAAGGTACAAGTGTAGAGAATTTCGTGACGATGCAGATATGTACAATAGAGCTTCTCTCAGTGTGTACAATGTTGTGTTATGGGCATTGCCCGGTGCTTCCTTTCCTTATTTGACATGTGATTCATGCGAGCAATGTTCATCACCGGTACTTCAGTTGGTTTTAGTGGCTTCACACACACACAGCCTCTGCCTGCTGCCCCGTGTGTGTGTGTGTGTGTGTGTGTGTGTGTGTGTGTGTGTGTGTGTAAACATGAAACGTGTCTCGGTGTGTTGGGTGCATGTTTCCGTGTCCGTTTCTCGCGTTAATCTCCCTGTGTTCAATGTTGTCTGACGAGGGATGGTATACAATAAAGGAACTTTTGGTGTATGCCGAACGTATAGTAATGAAAATCGTTTCTGTTTGCCCCTCTCCCTCCTCAGTGTGAGTCTCCCACAGTGCCCCCTCCCCACTATCACCGCCTCCTCCACTCACCTCCCCCACACGCACACCCACCACATTGTTCCCTATCACCCGCGGGCCACCATCTCCTCTCACGGTGCCTCCACCGTTCCTCTCGTCCCTGCTGCCTACCACTTCGCTCCGTCTCTCCCTGTCGTAACTGCAGCGGACCACAAGGCCCTAACACATCCAGGTACATTAGTCAGTCCTCTATACTGTATTGTGTTTTTTTTCTATTTTGACAAAAACGTTCGTTCCCTCCCCAGAGAGTGGGTAATTACAAAAATGATTTGCAGTGCATTAGGTGCATGTTAGCACGAGTCACTGTGGAATGAACATTTACGGTGCGCAGGATAATGCTGTTGTGTACAATATAGGAGAGGGGCTAAAAACAACTTCTATAGTTTGAGCACACAACAGTTGTCTGTCAACAACGACGAGCTATGCACAAGGTGTTTGTTTGCTTTCTCTCGTCTCTCTCTCTCTCCCTCCAACGTTTCCCTCTCTTTGAATGAGTGGCTGGTCCTTTCATGACATGCATCGTTATTACTCCTAGTTGTATGTGAGTTAGGGAATCATTTCTCTTATTTCACCATCCGTTTATTTCTCCCCTCTTCTCTTCTCCTGTCTTCTCTATTTCTTCCATTCTCCACCTGTCTGTCCGTATGTGCAGTATACTCTCAGCTACAACAGGAGCTCAACTACAGATACCTACAAGACCAGTCAGGAGGTGGTCCCGGTTCCGTACGGTCTGGGGACCTGTCAGTGGGTGGTCCAGGTTCCGTATGGTCTGAGAACAGGGGATTCTCAGTACCTCATTCTCAACCCAGCAACCTCCATCAACAGGTGACGTCTCTCTCTCACACACACACACACACTTGTGATTATACCGTGTCTTATAATATGCTGCGTAATCGGACACAGGCATTGGTGGGTGTGGCCTCATTGGGAATGGACCAATCAGAGAGCAGACGACCTCATCAGGTCAAGTGGTGCTCGGCCCACGTCACCATCGCCAAGCAGATCCTTGCTCACCAGCAGCAGGCCAAGGTATTCTTACCACTAGTAGTCATACCACTGATATCTGGAGAATGTGTAATAGATTGAAATTCAGGAGTGACTGTTTAATTTCCCGGTACCGTCTATAGCCTTGCTATTGATATCCCTCCTTCCTTCCATTTTATCTCTCTAAACACAGAATGCTCAGGAGATGGCCCGCAGCTCATCTCTACCTGCAACATCTTCAAAACCCATCGTCACCTCGTCTGCTGCTGCCGCCCCCCTTGACCCCGCCCACCAGATTGCCCTCCTACAGATGTATGGGATTCCCACCACAGCTGCAATCACGGGCGGCGGCTACATGACAATGTCGGGCGTGCCCTACCCCACCCTCCCGCACGACGTGCAACTACACAACCTCTCCTTCGTCCCTAATCCTGTACCGACTGCACTGTTTATGGACGCAGCAAACAACATTGTCTCGTTGAAACCGATGCCAGGGGTCGCGACACAGCAGCAGGCCCAGGAGACCTCAAACAAGGGTTTGCCGATGGTAAACGGAGTACAAATCCTGCCCTACCCTGCCCCACATCCGCAGTCGCTACCCATGGCGGCCGTAATGCCCGGGATCGCTGGCATGAGCAATGCGGTGAACGGATCATACGTCGGACCGGTTCCCATGATTGGAAACTGTGTTCTTAACCCCTGCCACCCTGCTGGCGTCATGGCAGCGCCATGGGTGAGGTGAGGGTTCGAAGAAACCCCTTCCTCCATTTCTTCCATCTACCGGCTGTGTATCATGTGTGTGTGTGTGTGTGATCATTTCATTTTTCGATAACCAACGTGTTTTGTGTATGATAATCTCTACAATGTATGTACGTATGTGTTTATCTAATCAAGTTTTCTTAGCGTTTTTTGTATGTTTTGCTGCCATTATGTGTGTGTGTGTGTGTATTTGCTATTGTATGCCAGAGATGTGATCAATCAAGGAGGCATCTTACACCATTTTCTAAATCCACATGGTCCATTGTCTATTATGTTGAAAATGTGTGCTGGCCACCTAAGAAGATACAAGATGATTGAGACGATAATATATAACTGGGTTATGATCATACTGGAAACCCAAAAATGGGGAGCTTTGGTTTGTGTACCGTTTGATTTGTTGGTTAAATTTTTATTGCGAGTCCACATTCTACCAATTCCGTGTTCTTCATATTATTTTCTGTGTTTAAGGAAATAATGAATCGATGACGGATAGAGAAGAGAAAGGGGCTCCTAATGAGTAGAGAGTTGCAGTCAGCCCCAACCTGTCAATTCATCAGGTAGGAGGGCATGTGGGTAGTTCGATCCAGCTGATTGAGGCAATAGGGAGGGAGGGAGGGCTGCTCTGTAGGGCTCTAAGTAGGCAGGCAGCATGTCTTTGCCACCAGCTTGAGTCAATGAAGGTCCAGTGGTAGACGAGACTGGTGCTTGTTTTGTACTTCCGTCTCTAACTGCAACCTCCTCCTTCCTTGTCCTCTTCTTCCCCATTTCCTCACATCTCTGCACCAGTTCCGGGTGGCTGCTGAGCCACTGCCGCAGAATCTCCTCTCCGCTCAGCTCACTGTACAAGATCTCGGCTCTTTCATGCCGAACGCCTCCTGCCTTTTCATCTGAGAGAGTTAGCACTCTAAATAGAGCACACCATGAGATTTTCTGATTTCTAATGGTAGACTCACTAGAGAAAGATTCGTAGTGGAGACGACGGTTTCGCTGGTGTCCGGCCCCCTTAAGATGCCTCCTCCTCGCCACTGGAGTATCTTGGAACGATTTATGGCAAAATTCGCACTGGTAACGCTTGGGCATTGTTTGTGGGCGTGGTTTAAGAGCATAGTGGGTGGAGTCATGGGCGGGGCTACGCTATCACGGTCTCCGTTCCGTTCTGAACTGGACCGTATAGTAATTACGTAAATTTACCGCGCGGTGCGCTTGCATATGCGCTAATTTCAGCAAAAAACCGTCTTCGTTTTGTTTGTTTGGGGAGACGAGAAGAGACTCTACCAAGAAACAGAGCGAGATATACTCTCAACGAGACAGTAAAGGACAGCCTGGCAAGGAAATACCTGCTTATCGGCCGCCCGTGAGTCGATATTCAAACCCGAGTACTCCCTGCGAGCTGGAGGGGCGGGGATAATCAGCCAGAGTAAGAAAGTCTCGGTACTACCAAAGTCTCTTGCACACCATGCCTATCTTCGGGGGGAAGAAGAAGGAGAAGAAAAAGGGCGGCGATGCGCCGGGACGGAAGCCGCCGTCTCCCGACTCTTCGCAGCACTACGGAGGAGGGAAGGCCGGTCCGAGCTCCTCTATGCAGAGCCTGGCCGCGTCCTCCCGCACTGCGGGCGTCGGGCACAGACGAGAGCGCGAGTTCGGAGGAGGAGCAGGAGGCTCGTCGGTCAAGGACAAAGTGAGTCGCTTCGAGCAGGTGACGGAGAGAGAGAAGGGGCGCGGGGTAAGTGCCAGTTACACCAGCCTGAACTCCCGAGACCGTTCCGTGACGAGTCCCCCGCCGTCTACCAGCGCCGCTGCCAGCCAGCACGGCTCCAACGCCTCCCTTCTGCGTCCAGACGTCCGCTCCCAGGCGGGGTCTAGCTATTCCTCAGTTGCTTCCCCTGCCTCGGACCAGATCACAGTGAACGCTACAACTACTACTTCTGGCACCTCACCCTATCGTAGGCCTGGCTTCGAAAGTCCACCTGGACCTGCAGCAGCGGAAGATTCTCGCACCATGAAACCATACAATGGACGAGACCTCCCACTCCCTCCTCTTCAGATGGCGACTGTCCGGCACCGCAGCGTGGTGGCAGAAAAGAGCCCGGCCAACGGAGGAGGGTTCGGGTTCGTTCTGAGGCAGTCGTACCTCCCGATGCCTGACGACCCGGGGCAGACCCGTCTCGTCCACCTCGTGGAGCCACGCCCCGACTACATGGGTCCGCTCATGACCGGCGATCGCATCACTCAAGTCAACGGGGAAGACGTGGAGGACGAGTCTCACGAAAAGGTCGTGGAGCTGATTAAGGCCTCGGGGGACAGGGTCGAACTCATGGTCGCTTCCATGCCCGAGCTCCTTGAGCTGAACGCCCGAGTGTTTCACGGATCGGACAACCCGTTTGTTGATCGGGGCAACAAGATGAGGAAGTCGGCCAGGATGAAGCCAGGGCAGACAGGAACACTTCGGAAGCAGGCTGCCAGGGCCAAGAAAGAGTTCAGAGTGAGTCGCGGATGTTTACCTACACGTGCTTTGTTTGCTCTATGGAGGAGCACTTCTGGTGGCATATGCTGCACACATACCCTCTCTCTTCACCTCTATACAAGTCTTGCTTGCTGTGTATGTATGTGGATACGGTGTGTTGTTCCCTTCGTACAATACCACCTGTGATTGTTGCGAGGAGTATTATATCTGTACCTGTGTTTTTAACCACAGTATAGTTTGAAGCAGCCCTCTTCCAGTGGGTCTATATGTACATTCACAGATCCTTTCCAATTAGGACACCTCATTCAAAGATTAGGAGAAACTTTAGCTGGTCAATGGACACCTCACACAATCCCCATGCCTCGTCCTATGTAGGTCATCACACAATCCCCATGCCTCGTCCTATGTAGGTCATCACACAATCCCCATGCCTCGTCCTATGTAGGTCATCACACAATCCCCATGCCTCGTCGTCATCACACAATCCCCATGCCTCGTCCTATGTAGGTCATCACACAATCCCCATGCCTCGTCCTATGTAGGTCATCACACAATCCCCATGCCTCGTCCTATGTAGGTCATCACACAATCCCCATGCCTCACTTAACAAGTCTGGTCATAAGTCAGTGCCTCTGAAGGCCCCCCCCCCTTGTGTCCTGAGTTATTGTTCAGTATGTGATGAACAGATGGTGTAGTGGCTTCTGATTCTTGTGACTATCTTGATTTTGGCTGCCTCTAATAGCTGCAGATAACAGGAGGAGTTTACTCCATCCCCCTCCACTCAGTGCTGTTTGCCCCATGTGTAACTGTACACTCTGTGTGGGGTGTGGTGGCTAAGTGTTTTTCGCTGAAGGGTAGATACTGTTACCTACCGTGCTATAATAATGAACAGCAAACAATTTCGCTGCTCAATGGCGATTGTGAGAATTTCGAACAAAAATTCTGGTCACACTTGCCACGTGCCCTGGCCAGCTTGATCATCCTTGTACGTGTAATAGGTCAAATCTAATTCTGTGAAGCTATCGTATACCGTTGCAGCGTCCCTGTTTTTCACAGTATAAATATGTAGCAGCATATCAGCAGGTAATAAATTGTGCAGAATATGGGATAGTAGGGGGTGCAGTGTACTCTATATTGAAGTGGCGCTATGACTGCTATACCTACGTATGTTGGATTGTGCTGTGACTGGATTGTCTCGTGAGGAATTGTGTTTTATAGACTGATGAGTTTGTTGAGGCGTCCTTATGGCATGCAAATATCTCACCTCGCAGCCCACCACCGGTGTGTTAGTGTCAAGAGGTATGTAGTGGGATTCTCTTGGGAGGTCTCTTGGGAGAGGACCGCTGTGTGTCTGGCTTTGGAAACCTTTTTTCAACCACATGTCCACCTTCGTCCATGATGTCAGTCTCATATAGCTTCCTAACACACACACACACACACACACACACACACACACACACACACACAGAGCACAGAGCAAAAGCAGACTGGAATAGTGCTGCCATACACCGTAAATAATGTTCATTTAACACGTTTTGTCCCAGTTAAACCACAGGCAGGGTCCAAAATCACATTAGAGACTCATAAATGGCTAGCAGAAGTGTCTGCTGTACACACCACACGTCTCTCATTAACACACTGATTGACTTGGGCACCTTTTGTGCGCGTGTGTGTTTCCACGGTTAGGGTACACCTCTCCATGCAAATGTGGAGATGTGTCGCGTGGCTCGTGGCCAGGTTTTCATTCATTTGCTCTTCTCTCTGAATGCTGGTTCTTCCGGCCACTTATTCCCGACTAGACCTTCTCCGTACTGGTCTGTTAGTGTGTGTCCTGCATGCCTTCGTTGGCTGCCAGCACCTGTCCAGAATCAATAGCAACAACATTCCAGCGAGGAGAGATACGGAGAGAGAAGTAGCGGTTCATTAGTGACTCCATTACGGAGTTGTTCTGGTGATCTGTTTATATGTGTGTGGTGTGTGTGCGCGGTGGCTCGTCTAAACAGGCAACGATTGATATCATAGCCCAGCATTTCCCCGCGGAAAGGTATACACTCTCCGTGTACATTTAAGCTGTAAAGATTGCAACATACCGTATTGCGTAAGTACTCTAATATATTAGCAGCAGAAGGCCCTGTACACTCCCGTACAGAGTGTGCGTGCGTCTCTCAGAAAAGGGAGAAATTATGGTTCTATTCACTCCACCAGACGGTCCATTCAGATCACCCATCGCTGCTGCCTCCTGTTAGATGTACATACATACATACATACATGCTGTGTGTATGTCAACTCACTCAACACATTCATACCGAGGGACCTCGCTCCGTGTGTATATCCGAGAGTTCTGTGTCTCATTAATAATGGCAAAAGCCAGCTTGAGGCTAGCTGTACAGTGTATAGCTGTGTGCATGTATGTAATGGTGACTGCTGTGATTGGAAGTATAACAATCGGCCTACGCACCTGTGGTGTATGTGTAGTAATGATTATGTGTGTTCATGCAAAGCTTACCAGTGATCCGGTTACCGTTTATATTCATGTGGGAGATTTGCCTAAGTGTTGAGTTTCATGGCCATCGATCAACTTGCGTTTGTACGTGTAGAGAGGGATTGTATGAGTAGTCCAGAGTTGGGCTGAGGGGTAGTGTGTGTGTGTGTGTGTGTGTGGAGTGGCCCTGTGTTGTATATAGCTGCTATCCAGCTAGGGATTTAGCCTCTGTGAATGCTGAGTGACCTCATGCTGAATGTGTGCTAACTCTTGAGGGAGGTTGACAGTTTGTTGGGCAATAGCATCCTAAAACAGGACAGAGAGTTAAAACAAGTTTAAATGTATTGCTGGAAACGATACACACACTCATATAACACACAGACACTGTTCGTTCTATGCTTCTCCATTCACCACAGTATACAAGCATGTGCGTAATACTTGAGTTGGCACTTTGTACTCTCAACTGTGCATGCACTCCACTTGCAAAGCTGCAAAAGAGAGTTCAGTTTTCATTTTCCTATGCCCCCTCCCTCCCTCCCCCATAGGCCAGAAGTGAAGAAGAGGTTCTATCGGACAAGCAGGGGCTGGAGAACGAGAGAGTGTGGGTGGTCCACAGGGCTGGCTTCTCTCTGGGGACCGTCCAACCCGAGGACACCTCTGCCCCCTCCAACTTCTCCTCTCACTTCAGCATCATCAGATACCAGGTGGGTGGGGGAGTGGAGGGTGGGGGTGATTCTCTTTCTACATTTGAACTTTATAGTGTGTTTGTTACTGTATATATACTGGTGGGGTTTCAGAGTGATCGTCAGCAATGTGTGGTATGTGTTTCCTTGGCCTTTTACGATATCTGTTTTCGACAGAACATCGCCCCAAAACTGCTTATACATAATTATATACATTACATGCATACATCATACATTTGCTGGGCATAGCGGAAATGCGGAGCAGGTAACTGTTTATTCTGTGTCTGGCTTTGCCGGAACGTGATATGTTTTCTTTCCCCATACTCGTCTTTCAAATTCTGTTTACATGTCTGCAGGGAAAAGACACAAAGAAGGTGAAGCTTGCGCAAACTGATGACATCATCGACGTGGACGAGGAGGACCTGGAGAAGGTTAGGAGATCACATGACTGTCATGTGACCACTCCACCACCTCTCTCTCTCTCTCTGTCCTGACAGGCGAACCCGCCGCAGCAAGACACAGTCGAGGATCTTGTTGATCTGACTCACCTCAATGAGCCCAGCGTCCTCCACGTCCTGAGGCAGCGCTACGGCTCCAGCCTCATCCACACCTTCACCGGCCGCCACCTCATCGTCATGAACCCACTCCAACCTCTCTCCTGCTACGTGGACAGGGTATGTATATACTGTTAGATTGCTCATTTTCCTCTCCTTCTCCCTTTTGGTTATGAGTCAGCCATTAGACCATTAGCAAATACTGAGAACTAACAGCTAATGTTGAATTTATAGTTATACCCACCTCTCCCTCTCCTTTAGTCTCATAATTATTTCTCCCCCTTCTTTAGTATCTCTGTCCCCTTCAATTAGTCACAATTTATATGAAAATCCACAAATTTTTTTTTATCCTCTCCCTCTTTCTGTAGGTGATAGACATGTTCAGAGGCTGTCGAAGAGAGGACATGCCTCCACACATCTTTGCAGCTGGCCAGCAGGCCTATCGGAACATGATGACAACTCGCAGCGACCAGTCCCTCGTTCTCATGGGTCTCTCGGGCTCCGGGAAGACCTTCAACGCTCGCTACCTCCTCCGCTACCTGGCCACCATTGGCCAGACTGAGCATGCCACTGTCACCAGTAAGATAGCTTCAGTTCTGCCGGAGCATACTGTGCTTCCTTCCGAATGTCTCTGTCTTTACATACATACACATACATACCTACTACATCGTGGAGCTATTGGCTGCAAAGAGCCAGATTGGTTGATTCAATTTCCTTAATGTGTAACCTTGCATGCACCTTTAAAAATTAATAAACAGAACCAGCTGCTATATATTTTTAAGGATTTAGCCATTGATTAAGCCCCGTGCATGTCAATCTGCTGTTTTTTTTTGACGTTCACTTTTCTCAATCCACCCGTCAGATGCGAAGCTGGATGCAGTGGAGTTACTGCTACACTCGTTTGGAAGTTCCGCGACGTTCCTCAACCCACAGGCCACTCGCTGCATCTGCCTCTACACGTTGGACTTTGACCCCAGCGGCTCCGTCCTCTCGGCTCTAGTCCGGGTAAGAGTCTCTCTCCCTCTCACACTCCTTGTCTGGTGGAGAACGTTGGGAAATGCTGTGCTCAATGGTGCAAAGAAACCACTTACGATCCTTTCATGGACTTGGTACTATAATTATAGTGGTTGGGTTACAGTGTCCTTATAATACATGTACTTGCCGATGTAAGCGATGCTATGTATCACCTATGGAGCTTGGTTATATATAGAATGTCCTGGGTGTGGTGGTGGGGGTGTTTGTCGGTTGAATGAGGTGTTAGATTTTGCAGGTCCGGTTTCCCTGGTAGAGGTGGTAGACGTCTATGGGTTTAACTAGAATCAGTCACACCTCCATGTTCCACTACACTTCACTCGTCTGTTTGTACTGGACACGTGATGACCCGTGAAGAGAGAGGCAACCATCCCCGACACAGAAAGAAAAGTGCCTAAGAAAACAGCAGATGTGAAAGTGTGCTAGTGTATAATACATACATACAGTGGTAACACCCTGACCCCCTCATCCTCTCTTTTCTCAAAATGCGTTGAAACCTATGTCAGTTTATACGGTTGTAATTCCTCCTCCCCCCTCCCCACCTCACTTTGTTCCACCTAAAGACCTATCTGTTGGAGAAGACGCGAGTGGCCTCCCACCCGGAAGGAGAGGGGAATTTCAACATCTTCTACCAGTTGATAGCAGGGGCCGACGACCATCTCACGGCGGAGCTCATGCTAGACGCTCTGCCGGGCGAGGAGCCGAACCTCTACGTGGAGCCTCATGATAATGTTAGCACTATCTCCTCTCCATCTACATGTTGTACATGGAACATGTAATAACTGTACATCATGTTGTACATGGAGCCTGTAAATGTACAACATGTACAGTGGAGCATGTAATACCTTTACAACATGTTGTACGACATGGAGCATGTACTTTACAACATGTCGTACAACGTGGAACTTTTGGGAACAGCATTCATGTTTCAGGCTACTACTTTTAAGTAATCTTGCAACATACTTGCAGAGGGAGTGTGTATGACGTGGTTGGCTTAGGCGATGAGGTGATATGCTCACACATAATCCCTGTACAATTTTATCCACATACTACACGTGGCGGTGTATACCCGCACAACAACAACAGGAGCAGAGGGTCGAAAGTGCAGCGTACGTGTGGGACCTCATCCAGAACTGCCTGGACATCCTGGGAATATCGGAGAGCGAGGCCATGGGGCTGTGGTCCCTACTGGCCGCCATCTACCACCTCGGATATGCCGGAGTCAAGAAAAGTGAGCCGAGCTTCTCTCTGCATATTTTACCTGGAGGGTTGGAGCATGTATTTTCCCTAATAGTGCTCTGAAATTACATTAAACATGGGTCAATACTATATCAGGTCTTTGGCCTTATTTGCACTGCCATCTTATGCTGTATATATACAGTTCCCCTGATACTATTGTGACTATATGCATAGAAAGATGCATGCACAGCGAAGCATTGAACGGTGTGTATGTGAGTGTGTTGATTAGCTACTAGTTAGAGCAGAGCGACCCCAGCCGACCTCACCTATGTGTGGGGACTACCGGCATTAAACCCTACCCATCTCTTGTTCTATATACTACATAAAAACATCTGATGTGTTTGTGTGTCCTGGAAGCTAGCCCTCCCTATAGATTCCTGTCTCTCCCACCACCTAGGCCCCCAAAAACTACTGTTTACTCACTCTCTAGTCCTCAATACTGGTCTTGTGTGCTTAGCTAAAGTATGTTATTGCTCTGTGTTCCCAGCTCAGTATATATATAGGGTAAGCACGCTTCTGTATACATAATCTTATGTAAGTGTAATGTTTTTCCTTTGAAAAGTGAGCGATAAACATGCCTGTATTGCCAGAATGTCCATCAGGTGTTTATCGTCGTATTCCTCAGGTGCCGTGAGGGGAAGCGAGTGTTTCCTCAACCCAGCAGCTGCCCAGCGAGCCGCCATCATTCTCGGAATCGACCACGAGGACCTCGGGAAAGACATCTTCAACCCGCCGCGCGGCGCCTCGTTCCGTCTCCCCTCTCTCCTCAGCTCTCCCTCCCAGTCCTCCAACCTCAACCTCTCTGACACCGGCTCGATCCACTCGTATGGGTCTCCAATCATCGCTGCACAGAGCGGAAACCGCTCGGCCGCATTGGACGCGTTCGCGATGGGCCTCTACGAACAGGCAGTGTCCGCGCTGGTGATGCTCATAAACCGTGCTCTCCAGGGTCCCAGCTCGGCCAAGTCCCGTTCCAGTATCCACGTTCTGGACACGCCGGGGTTCCAACACCGTGAATTGGCAGGGGCACGGAACGGGGCCTCGTTTGACGAGTTGTGCATGAACTATACCCAGGAGCGACTCCACATGTTGTTTCACGACGTGACGTTTACGCTGGAGCAGGACCGCTACATCCAGGAGAACATTCACTGGATGTTCTCAGAGTCCCCCGAGAGCCCCCTGCCTCTCATCAACGCCATTGACAAACATGTCGGGGTGAGTGAGCGAACCCTGTGGTGCACTGTTCCACTTGTACACGAGCCCCACTCTCCCTCTCCTCCCCCCCAGCGGCGAGGTATAGCGGTGGACGTGAACACAGATCGCCGTGGTCTCCTCTGGATCCTGGAGGAGGAGAGCATGTTCCCGGGAGCGTCCGACGGGAGTTTCCTCGACCGTGTCCACATGTACCACGGGAAACCGGGGGAGATGGGTAAGTAGGTCCACCGACTATGATGACAGAGAGAAGAGAGACATCATTGGATAGTGAAGCGAGCCCAGCCATTCGTCTGAATGGTGTTTTTTTTTCCTCGACAGTGCTGTCACACTAGGCAATGTGCATTGTATAAGCATCACATGGAGTGGTTCAAAGGTCATGCTCTACGTGGCATGTGGCATGTTTGTGTTCGCTGTGTCATATGGTAAATGTGCAGATTCTCTCGCTGAAATTCCTCTTACCACTTACTTACGTGACTTCCGTGAAAGGCTTCTCCCAAGAACTGCTCCCTCGTTTCCTGTCAACCTTACCCTCCAATATCCCTGATTTCCTCTCCCTTTACCTTGATCTCCTTCCGTCCTTCCTGCCCAACCCTGACCTCTCCTCTTCTTCCCCAGGGGACCCCCCTCTCATTAAGGTGATGAAGGAGGAGAACCAGTTTCAGATCCGCCATTGCCAGCATTCCCTCTCCGTCCTCTACGATGCCAACGGCTGGGTGAAGAGAGCCCGCGAACACCCCTCCTTCAGGATCGTGGCTCAGGTCATGGCGGACTCCAAGAAGTGAGTTCAGTTGGATTACAGGGAATTTTGGTTTAATACCACCCATTGGATTGGTGTACTTGCTTACCACCATAGAGAGTGCTAAAACATAACACTTGTGAATTTTCGCCGTACATTTGCAAACGTTGGTTTTAACGTGCCACACATGCCAGCTAACTGCATTCGCATTTTTCATTTTTCACAAAAAGTTTGTTTTACACTTGATTCAAGAGACTCACGGAATTTTCAAAGTGTCATGTGTGTAGATGCCGTCCCCTTCTCTCCTCTCCCTCCTCTCCCAACACCCAGGGAGTGTATAGGCAGCATATTCCAAGGTCGAGGAGTTGCAGCGTCGGCCACAAACATGAGCACCTCCGCCCTGAAAGTGGACACTGCCCACTCCTCGCTCTCCCGGACCCGCTCAGGACAGGCCGTCGGCTACTCCAGTCCGGGGAGCGGGATCAAGAAATCCTCCATCTGTCTTCAGACCAAGTTCCAACTGGTGAGTCTCCATCTCTCTCTGGATCGCTCGATGCGCACATTATAACTATAGCTATTTTGTTATTGACAAGCGAACACAAATTAGATCAGTCGTTTTATTAAATTCTCCTCTCTCTGTCAGGATTCACTGATTGATGTCCTGAGGAAGACAAGGCAGTGGTTCATTCGCTGCATTCTCCCCCAAATACCCTCCAAATTGCCAGGGGCGCTCCCCAGCCCAGACCCCATCCTCCAGAAGTCTCAGTCGGAGCCAGCTCCCCACGGGGTAGTCAACGTCCCTCTCATCAAGGCCCAGATCCAGCGAGCCGACATCGTCAAGGCTGCCAGGATATACAAACAAGGTCTGCCTTTCCTCTCTTCTCCCATCTTCCCACTTGTATATTTTCTGCTCTCTCTCTCTCTCTCTCTCTCTCTCTCCTCACGTTTTTTTTACTCTCTCTCTTCTCTCAGCTTGATTTTAGGTAATGTACATACATATTATATAGAGTGTGCAGTTAGCATTCAGTACTATTGCCTAGCGCTCACAGCATGCTCTGCCTTCCAAAGCTGATCTGCTCACTCTATTCCACGTTCAACAGGTTTTCCAGAGCACATGTCGTTCCCCGAGTTCTGTCGTCGCTACGGTACCATCGAGAAACTGGACGTCCCGTTAAACACCCCGGAAGCCGTCCAGGAAATCCTCATGCTACAAGAGGTTCCGTCCCACGCCTACAAACTGGGGAGCAGTCAGGTGTTCCTCCGCTCCGGGATCCTCCCCAAACTGGACCAGAGTGTTGAGGCCCACACGCACAGCTCCATGGTCCTGTTCCAGGCCCGCTGCCGTGGCTACCTCGGTCGGAAGCGGTTCCGAGGACTGGAGGTTCTGGACTCGGCGGCATACGTGATTCAGAGCAACGTAGAGGTGTGGACGGAGATCAGGGACTGGTCGTGGTGGCAACTCTATACCAAGGTCAGGAACCTGGGTTTGGCCGTATGGGAGTATGGCAGAATGGAGGCATGTCTGTATGGAAGTTGCAGAATGGAATGTTGCTGGAGCAAGCTGTTGCTAAATGAAAGATGGAGTGTGCATTAGTCAGTTGAATGGATGTAAAGAGCTGTTGTGTTTTTGAATGATGTTACACCCTGATCGGCGAAGTAGTTGAAATTTTAGTGCATAATTATTTGGGGCGACATCAGTGAATGTTTCCTACTGTATGTTGTGTGAAGTGTAGTACAACGTGTAGAAAGTTTATTAACTGATGTGTGTGTGTGTGTGTGTGCGTTTAGATCAAGCCGCTGCTGGCCATCTGGAGGGTGGAGAGAGAGACGAAGGAGAAACAGGCAGAGATCGACAAACTCGTGACGAAGGTTGCCAAACTGGAGGACGAGAGAGACACTCTGCAGGAGTCTGAGAACATCCTCAGTGAGAAGGTCCGTCCGCCTCTCACCTCACCAGTGATATAATATAGAGGGACATGTGTATGAAGCTTGGAAAAACGCAACTCTGTGAAAGAACAGCGTTACGACTTTGTATTGCATATATTATTTGTTGCAGAGTTTAGTTAATTCCCAATATAGCATGTAAATATTCCGTCGTTTTCTTGCTATTAAAAGGCAAGATTGGCGAGTCCTGCTGCGAGGGTCTTACTCTCCTCTCCTCTCCATTCCTCTCTCTCTCTCTCTCTCTCTCTCTGTCACCAGGTGAAGCAGCTGACGTTGCAGATGACAGCGGCCCAGGAGGCTTCCGGTCAGGCCGAGGAACTGCTGGAGAACGAACAGATTGAGAAGAGAGAAATGGAGGAGCAACTCTCCGACATGACTGTGAGTCCCTAGACCAAACCTATTCATTTGGTATTGGTGTAATCTCTGTGAACGTGCCGTGAAGGGCAAAGTGGATGAGCTGTGCAGGGAGAAGGAGCAGCTGAATCTGCAGATTGCGGAAGTGAGTATTCTGGCCAGGATCAAGCAAGAGGAGGGAGAGGCCGAGCTCAGCCCTCAAGGAGGTAATGGAGAGAGAAAGAGAGAGAACAGGTTACAGGAGAGAGAGTGGGAGAGTGGAAAAAAAGAAGAGATACATATGTACACAGAGTGAAAAGATGTATATTAGGTATGACTGCTGGGCATTTTTAATGAGTGTCTCTTGGCACACTGCGTGTCCGAAGCCTGCCTGTTAGTGAAGTAGACACATGTGTACATAACATGCAGCGTGCAGTTCTAAATATAGATCACCACTCGGTGGAGAGAGAGAAAAGAGGTTTATTTCGTAACGTCACCAAGATTCTGACTGAAGAAGATTGTGTGTGTGTGTGTGTGTAGGTTACATGGACAAGTACTGGGAGACGAAGAGAGAGCTGGAGACTCTGAGACAGAGGTTGTCCACTGAGAGAGACGACGAGCTGGAGACACTGCAGACCTCCAAACGCAGCCTCGAGAAGAAGGTCAGCGTGTGGGCATGCATGAGTGTGCGTGTGCAGGTGGGGGGAGAGAGGAATATAGACAGACATTATGTCTGAGTGTGTAATAGGCTAGTAGAAAAACGAGCAACTACCGTGAATTTGTCTGTAGCAACACACATACATACATACATATGTACATGAAGTGTGCTATAATGCTCGCGAAATGAGCCAATTTCTCGGTACCTGTGAAAGTATCTTTGCGGCGGTAGCTAAAAGCCGTATCCCATACATTTCTGAGGTTCTCACCTCAAAACGTCATATGAGTGGCAATTACAGCACCAATTAGCCAAACATGTACTCCATTTCATTTTCTCTCCTCTTTCTCCCTCGTCTCCATTTACCACGCTCTGACGTGTCTGCGCTCTCTCTCCATGTCCATCATCTCTGTCGCGTCCGCCCCGCGCGCTCGTTCATATCCACTCTCTTCTTTCTCCCTCTCTCTGATCTCCTCTCTCTGCTCTCCCTCTCTTTCCACTCTCTCTGCTCCCTCCACTCGTCATTTCCACGTCTGTCTCTCCTCCCCCCTCTCCATTTCCCACTCCTCTGCGTCTCTCCATTTCCACTCTCTCTTTCTCCCTCCCCCCTCTCCATTTCCACTCTCTCTTTCTCCCTCCTCTCCATTTCCACTCTCTCTTTCTCCCTCCCCCCTCTCCATTTCCACTCTCTCTTTCTCCCTCTCTTTGGTTTCTTATTCCTACTCGCTTTGCCACTCCTCTTCAAAACCCTTACCCCCACCCATACCCTCACTACCTCTCTCTCTCACACACACACACACACAGCTGGCAGGCTCAGAAGCAGAGGTGGAAGAACTCAATCGGTCGCTGACTCAACTCAGGAAAAAGACGGTGAAACAAGGCCAGGAGCTGAACGACCTCAAACTCCATCTCGAGTCCCAACAGGCTCGCAACGAGGAGCTCGAGAAGAGGCAGAGAAAGTTAGTTGGTTTAGGCCTGACAAGAGGAGGGGAGGGGAGGGAGATAAAGCTTTAAATAAACTCGTGAAAAGATTTAATCACCACATTAAATTTGTGCACAACGAGTGTATATAGCCCATCATTTCTCTCTCTCTCTCCGTTCCTCGTTGCCCCAGGTTTGACTCTGAGCTCAGTTCGGCAAAGGATGACGCAGTGCAGGAGCGCCAGGAGAAGGAGAAGCTGGCACAGGGTCGTCACAATCTCCGCAGCGACCTGGACGAGCTGTCGGCCAAGCTGAAGGAGACACAGGATGAGCTGGATAAGGCCAACCAAGAGAGAGAGGACCTCCAGACCGAGCTGCTGCAGCAGACCAGTGCCAGCACAGAGTCAGAAGTGACGTCACTCAAGAGGATGAAGAGAGAGCTGGAGACAAAGTTGGAAGGACTGGAGGACGATTTGGACGAGGCAAACATAAAGTGAGGACGAGCTACATATTTTATTCTTTGCTGGATTTTCCATGAATTTGGTGGAAATCACAAGATTTGCATCCGATGTACAAGGGTTTAAATGTTTGAATTTCCTCCCTGCTCAGAGTGGACAATCTCCAGCAGGGGAAGGCGAGACTGGAGGTGGCTAACCAGACGCTGAAGGCCCAGCACCAGAAGGAGCTGGAGAGCCGAGATGAGGAGGTGGAGGCCATGAAGGGCAACATGAACAAGAAGCTGAAGGCCCTGGGAGACCAGATAGAGGAGCTTCACGAAGAGAAACAGGCTGCTACCAAGGTTGGTTGGCAGTTCATTTAGCCATCACTCTAGTCTGCTTTGTATCTCTCCAAAAGGCCGTAATTTTGCCAATCCATAATCCTGTAGTGTATAAAATGTGCATACTGCCTTTAACATTTGTTTGTACCAATCGAACGCATATTACTGACTGAAAGTATAATATTGTTCTGAACACAATATGTGCTATGTCCTAGTGCGGCAAACCAACCATGTACTAGTTGTAATCACACTGCTGTTCTATTGGTGGTATGTATGTTTTAATCACAATATTATTATGCGCTCTAAGATGAAGGGTGTGTCTGTATCTGAATTGATTGATTGGTGCCCCCTGTTGTTGCAGGCTCGCCGGGACATGGAGAGAGAGCTGGCCCAGTACCAGGGCCGGGTCGGAGATCCAGAGGTGGAGAAGAAGCTGAAGAGGCAGATCCACAAGTACAAGGCCCTCTTACAGGTGAGCCAGACTCAACTGCACTGTGTGCACACATGAAAAGTTTTAGCGAATTCCCTAAAGTTATATGGACAAAGAATAACAGTGGGACAAGTAGTAGTCTGGGAATTTTCATTTGCTACCAAACAGTGTTGTCCCTCGCAGCTACTACATGTCATCCTCTCCTCTCTTCCTCCTCCCTGCAGAGTTCCAACGAGGAGCTGGAGAGACTGAGAGACTCGAGCAAGACGTCGGCTCTGGTGCGGAGTCTGAGGAACCAGCTGGAGGAGCAGCAGGCCAGCATGCAGGCCTCCCTGAAGAGCCTCAAGAGAGTCCAGGAGGAGCTGGACGAGAGCGTGGTCCAGGTCGACGAACTGACTCGGTCAAAACTAGAGGTCCGTCGCTCACTCCACAATCTCTTTCTTTTCTTCTGTCCCTCTCCTCTCACTTCTCCCCTTATTGGAGTGTTTCTGTAAACTCTAGTACATAGGACGCTAGAACGAATGCAGCGCACTGAATGTGCGATATTTCAAATGTCTTACTGGATCCACTGGCTACAAATGTAGTACAAACGTCTCCAATTTGGATGACTAAGTGGGGGGGGCTACTTCGCTTGTCAGTAGATTTTCTTCTCCCTCCTTTTTCTCTATCTTGGCTTACTTTTTCCCCGCTTCACTTCTTTCTCTCGTATTCATTCCCTCCTCTTTCTCCATTGTCCTCTCCCCTCCCCTGCAGCTGGAGTCTCGAGTGTCAGATCTGACTAGAGAGAAGTCTGACCTTGAGTCGAGAGTGGAGGAGGACACGGACGAGATCGAAGAGTTGACCGGGAAACAGAGGTCTCTCATCTCTCAGAACACTCAGCTCCAGACGCAGCTGGCAGAGAGTCACCAACAGATCGCTGAGCTGGAGGACACCATCGCTTCCCTGGAGAGCAAGGTGTGTTGATCACAGTGTGCTCTGTCTCCACTGGTCCACGTTGATCAATTTGGTTGCCCCGCTAATAATAGTTAGAGCGCGAGTTGGTAAAATATATGTGCATTAGATGTTTCTGTGTGTGTCCAGTTGACTGAGCTGAACTCCAAGATCACTGACATGGAGGGAGGCATCAACAGACAGCAGTATGAGGCTTCGGAAGTCAAGGTTAATACACAATAGTAGTAGCTCTTCAACACACTACCACGAGTTATCCTCAAACCAGGCCTTCATTTAGATTGATCCAAGAGATTAGTTGTAAAATAGAGGGGGCAAAGCGTAGTGTCCGTGTGCATTAGAAGTTCACTTAAAAACAAAGGGGGCGAAATGTCATCATGGAGGGTCGAACCCCCCAAATTACCCCTGTCTATCTGTGCTGTATAATATAGGTCAGGGAACTGGAACAGAAACTGGACCTTGAGAAGTCGTCGGTGCGTCGACTGGAGAGCCAGATCCAGCGACTGCGCGGCCAGCTGGAGAGGGTCCAGAAACAGGAGGGAGACGACAGCTCGCAGAAGAGCTCCGAGGCACTGCGGCGGATGCAGAAACAGCTGCGAGAGGTCCGGCTGGAGCTGCAGGAGGCCGAGAGAAAAGAGCAGGAGATGGCCCGCAAGAAGAGAACTGCCGTGAGTAGAAATATTTTTGAGCACGGCGTCGATTATTGGCCAGCGAAGCGAACCTGTACCCATATAGTTGTCTGAAAGCAATATTATGTGACAGGCACTGCACATGCCGTAATCTTCTACGTGATTCTGAATACACGAACAAAATCATGTAGTGTGATTTTGTCTGTGGTTTATACGCAGGAGAGCCAGTTGCAGGAGCTGGAGGTGAGGCTCCAGAGTGCAGAGGCAGACCTGAAGACGGCCGAGCGGAGAGTCGACACCCTGCAGGACGCCCTCAAGATGCAGGAGGAAGAGATCGGGAGTGGGGAGGAGGATGAGGGAGACATGAGTCGGTCATACGACGACCTGAGCTCCAGTGGCGGCAGCTACCAGATCGGGGAGCTGAGCGGCAGTAAGGAGGACCTCTCTGACAGTCGGGACACCGAGCATCGTCTTTCCAGCCACCTGAAGGGATTGGGTGGAGGGCGATCAGCCACGCCCAGAGTCGAAGATTACACCAGCCCCACCCACCACACCCGACGTAATCGGTTCAATCTGGACGCAGAAGACGATGACGTGAAGCTGTATTCTCGCCGGAAACGAGCCAGCGTCGAGGAAGACGATGACTTACTTGTCAGTCGTCGCCACAGAACTAGAATCCCTCTGAGTGACGAGGAAAAAGAGGAGGAGGAGAAAAAGCCAAGAAAATCGTACCTGAGCAAGCTGTCAGATGAAGAGGATGATTTAGCCAAGTCTCCCACACGAAGGAGAAACAGGCGGTATGATCTCGGGGCCAGTGATGACGAAGGTGATTCAGCTTTCAAGACAAAGAACTCACGATTGGCTCGAGGGAAACTGAGCCCTGATAAGGAGGAGGAGGTGTCGTCGCGGCGTCGCTACAACCGTATCCTCATCAGCGACGACTGAGGGGGATGAAGACCTGGCCAGCTGGAGACGAGGGAGAGAGAAATCTCGACTCGAAGACGACCGCCTCTCGCCTCCCGAAAGGGGCGTGGCTCTTCACCCCCGGGGGACAACGAGACTGGGTCCTATCGCCAGAAGAAGTACCAGCTGAGCGACGAAGAAGAGGACAAGAGGAGTCCGTCGCCGTTCAAAAGCAAAGTCACCAGTCCCACTCGAGTGAATGGCGAGCAATCAAGTCTCACGAATGGCACTAAGACCTCCGAGGCAGGGGAGAAAGAAGGAGAGGAGGGGAATAGGAAGGAGAGGTAGGACTGGGTCTATTAGCAAGAACTTGGTCTCCAAGGAGCAGGAGCAGCTGTATTCAGTGGCTCAGAATCGCCGACGGAGACGGAGGACCGGAGATGCTAAGTCTACCAGACAGACGGCAGCTGCCCAGAACAACGGCTCTGCCTCCTAGCAACAACTGCTGCCACTATGATGTCACACATTGTGTGTGTAGCCTGTTGTGATTGGACGTTCCGTCACATGTGATCGTTTATTTGTAGCACCAGCTAAAGTTATGCATGTATGTGTATGTACACAAATTTTTATGATTAAACAGCACATAATGTATGCCATCATAATTATTATAAATTTGGATCAATTAAGTTTGACATTAATTACTCTTGGTGAAAAATGATAATACAATACCTGCCTCATGAAACACTCTACAATAATAATAGTAGAAACAAAAGAATCTCAAACAAAAAAACATTAATTCTGACAACATATGATGTATAATGATATAGCAGGTTGGATGCTATTGGATTCTTATGACTGGAAAGTGAGGATGAAGTGAAAAATCTAACACCGGGTTGACCTTCGACTCTCGCTTGTGACCTTTCGCCGACAGGTTCATGATAACGATGTTCATTTTGATGACTTTGAGTAGGCCTTGAAGGTCTTCGCTGGGGTGGGGCAGTGACTCTAGAGCGGCTTTCGCCGACGAGAAATGTCGCGACGCAGCGTCGTAGAGATTTATGTCCCTGCCTCTATAGTTGTGCACCCCGGCCAGATGCTGGTAGTCTTCGTAGGTGAGGAGATGGGGAGTCGCGATGCACGCAAAGGCCGCAAATCTGTTCTGGTAGCAGAGTTCCTGACTCCCGTATTCAAACTCCGGGATGCGGACTTTGTCTTCGATGATGAGAGCCTCGAACGCCCGCATCATTCCAACACAGACCAATCTCTTTATGTGCACAACTGCCACTTCTCTCTCCTTTCGTTCTACCAAATCCTTCCTCAGCTTCTTCCCCTTCTTCTTGCTCCCCTTCCCGCCTCCTCCCACAACGAGCTGATCGGCATTCAACTTGTCTGCCGTCTTCCATGAAGTGTGTAACCAACCGTACAAGTACTCGAGGTACCAGTAAATGTAGTGCATCTCGAAGGGGCTGTAGAGATTGTACTCGAACCCCATCACGATGTAGTCGATCATGAGACAGAGGATGTGATAGAGGACCCAGCTGGCGTAGCAGGCCAGGTGCTGCCGGGCCGGGTCGACCTTCATGGCAACTTCATTTTGGAGTTGGTCGATTCGCTGCGTCTCGTGTTGGAGATCAGCGAGAAAGTCGAGCACACGCTCCGTCTTCTCCTGCTGACGTGCCCGCGGCTGGCAGTACAATCTGAGAAGTTCGGACATCGGGTGCACGGTTCGTCCGAAAAATCTCTCCGCTAGCTCCTTCCCTTGGCTGGAGGTGAAGAGTGGGGAGCGAGGGTTGAGAGAGGGAGGGTTGGAGAACTCGTGTGCATCTCTCTTCAACATTTCCTCCAGGGAGGGACTGCCGAATATTTTAGTTCTGTCGGACTGGATGCAGACGAGAGCCATCACGGAGCGAGCCAGAACATTGGGGACTGTAGCCTGCGAACAGAAATCCCGAAGAGCGTCTTTCAGGGAGCGGAGGGAGTCTAGTCTGCCAAAGTTGAGGACAGTTTCTATCTGTGATAGAGTTGACTGCAACGACGCGAGGCCTTCCTCTCGAGGCATGATGCTGCAGTGCCGGTAACTGGGAGGGAGAAGATTCTGATTGATGAGGGGGTGGAACCCCAATTTCAGGGGGTCCTGAGGGTCTAATTTCTCCCCCAGGGAGCATGAGGTTTTGATCTCGGGCAGTAGGTTGAGACATTGGCTGAGATGGCTCAGGATAGGTTGGACTACACCAACAGGTCGCTTTTTCAGAACAGACATCAGCCCGAAGAGATTTCTGATGAATCTGATTCGTGCGACTACCGCCCGAATTGCCTCAGTTTTGCCCGATGTTACTTTCTCCCCTCTCTCTCTCTGTCTGTCTGCCTGTACCGACAGACGAGCAGCTGCACTTGACCTCTCCTCTGAATCCTTCAGGGCAGCTGACACGCTCGCGTCACTCACCGACGTGAGCATGTTGAAACCGAAACACATCCCCTGTTGGTCGTCCTCCGAGTAGACCCCACCCCTGCAGATAAACTCTCGCATGTAGTCGACCGTCTTGACCACACCCATTGAGAAACTCCGCAGTAGCGGGGATGCGGGGCAATCGGTTTCAAGAAGATACAGGCAGGAGAAAACGGTCTGTGCGAGAGTAAACCCATTCAGCCAGGTAGCGAGACGAGCTAAAACCTCGTCGAAGATACCAATGAGTTGTAGGTGGGTGTGCCCGTCAAGTTGAAGGAGCCCCTTCGCGATGGCCTCGCCCACACTTCGCGGGTACCTCCAAAATGATACGCAGTGCATCGAGGCGTCCATCTTTGGGTCGAGCAGCTCCACGGCAGACATGGCGTCCAGAAGACTGAAGCTCCAATCTCGTAGCAGTTCTCCCGGAGAGAGGACAGAGGCTGCCTCGACAAAAGAGTCAGTAATGTCCACCCATTCCGTTACAGTCTCCTCTTCTTCTTCCTCTTTTGTCGATTCCTCCTCTTCCCATCCCTCCTCCCCTTCTTTCCTCTCTTCGGCATCTCCCTCCACCTTTTCCTTCCCCTCTACCTCTTCCTGCTCCCTCCCAGGGCCCACTGAGCACGGCCGGACGCTGCAGGTACCTTGACAGCCCTCCTCCCCGTCTCTCTCTCCGCACAGTACGAGATCTCCTAACCCCGTAGCCAGAAGAGCGTCCTCCAACGCTCTTTGCACGGCCTTCCGGGTCTCTTCGCCGGCAGCTGCGTCGCTCTCCGGCTCCCCCACCGACGTGGGCTCCGTGGTATCGTCGTGGGTGGCTGCAGACGCTCCCTCGTCGCCCCCTGATTCCTCCATTGTCGGCGAACACACGCACCAGCTAGCTGCCGCGCCCACGCGCACGTGTAAACGGGGGTGTGCACTATTTAGAATCTCTTACCGACGAGCTCAGAGAAAGAAATAGGATGAATCCTAGCAGCCAGTTTGGCCAAGAGGCCATAGCCAACATGGAGATAGAGATGATGACAGACCTCTACAACAGGTACGTATATCTACTAAAGCTATCACCTTCACTTCTATATAAAGGTTGTCAAAGACGTGCCACAAGAAATGTATTCCGCCAAAGTACCACGAGGGAGATCTGAGTAAGGGAGAGGCCATATGCATCGATCGCTGCGTGGGCAAGTTCATGGAGGTGCACGACAGAATAGGCAAGAAACTGACCAGCATGTATGCACAGGACCAAGCCGCAGCGGCTGCTCAGAGATAGCATCGACAGTCAACTGCATCACATGCACCACCCACTGGACCATATACTCAACACTAGATGTCACTTCTCACTCTTCATTATGTGTATCGCGTGTGTGTCTTATGTTTATTGACCGATATTCTAGATCTTATGCATGAAGGGCTCGCATGCTGGCTTCAAAGGTTCCAGTGGTGGTCATAATGTGCATTCTCACACAATATGTATATTAGTACTCCAAAGCAGTGTGAGTGTTGAGATTTAATGTGACTACCTGTCTTTATCGGGGACCCAACGTGTCACTAGAGTTTCACAGAGTCTCAGTCTGTCTACAGTGTCTGGGGAGGACCTGAGGCCAGTCTCCTCACAGTCTCGCGGGACGATCACCTGAACCACCACCAACTCCTTGGCCGTCGATTCGCACACTCGGCAGTGGGCAACGGCATCCATCCACCTCAATTTTTTCCCAGACCCAGCACCAACTGTACCACTACCACATGCCTCACTTGCCTCCTCAAAGTATTCACAGACTAGAACGGCGTAACTGGAGTGATACGAATCAGGCCCGTCTTTGTAGAGAATGAAATCGACTCCAAACTTTAGTCCAGTTTTAGGGACCCACCCCTTCCTCCGGTAGTGTCGATAGGCAGCATAAGTGAAAGGAAATCTGCTGAACTCTTCGCACAGTCTGGTCCACAGTTGGTCGGGGGAGAGGTGAAGAGTGCTGGGGTGGGGAGGAGGGAGAGAGACACGGAGACTATTTAGCTCAGCTGCGAGGTAGAACGCTTCCTCCGCCATTAGACAGAGTGGCTCTGTCACTGGATAAGGGTCCTCTGCTGGAGTTTCAGAACGACTTTTTAATTCCAGAGTAGCTTGAGCTCCTACTTCATTTACTCCTATTTCATTCACTTCTCTCCCCGTTGTTGTAGGACTATATGATGCAGTACTTTCACCACCTTCTACTTCTGTTGGGATTTCTCTGTCCTCTGTTGTGCTAGAAACCCCAACTGGTGTATACAGTTTCTCAGTCACATCCACACTGTCAGTTTCAGTTAGGAGGGAGAGCAGTCTGTGTTTCTCTTTGGTCCACTCTGCATGCAGCAATAGCCTTTGTCTCTTTCTCTGCTCCCAGCCTTCCTCGGAGGCCTCAGACTGCGAAATATGATGTCTGGCTCGTTTCCTGCGTGTTTCATCACCTACACGACCTCCAGAACTCGAGCACTCGGAGTCTCGTGAGCGAGTTGAGGGTACGTGGGTCGGAACGCTCCGCGAGAAGACACCTTTGCCGTAAAACCCCAGTCTGAATAGTGTTGAGATGTCTGACTCGCTCTCTATTATCACCGAGCTTCCCAGCAAAATCCCTCTGCATTGCCGTCCGTTTATCTGCTCCTCTTCTTCCTTCAATACCCTTCGGAGGTCCCCGGCGCCCTTCTTCCTCTTCAGCTTCGGGCTTGGAAACTCCATCTTGCGGGTGAAAGGGGCGGAGTTTCACCACGTGTGTTAACGCATGCGCACAAATACGGTAACTGCGCATGCGTAAGTTTTAACCCGTTACT